TGAATATATATATATGAATATATATACAAGTTTATATACAATATATATATATATATACCAGATCCACGCGAAATCAATCTTGGTGAGGTCATTATACTATTTTTAATCAGGTGACCCTGTCAGCATGTATTGAACACTTACAATATGTATGTCCAAAACATGAAAATCCACAGGGAACTTACCTCGACATATTGGAACGATCGTGTTTGTGAACCGTCGCCGTATATTGTGATGGGTTCGTTCTTCAGTGCTTGGATGATGAAGTTGCTAACCACACGCCCGTCTTTGGGGTGCATTCGCGGTCCAAAAGTGTTAAAAATGCGTGCCACCCGCACATCCACACCAGCCTATTTGTATATATACATGGAGGACGCAATATACTTTTTAACACAGTTGCCATGTGAGGAATCAACAATGAAGCTGAGTTTGAGAACATTTGGTGGATGTTTTAGGAGAGAATCATACGGCTGCTTGATGAAGAGTAGACTCTGTCTGTCAGTAAATGTACAATAAATACTCGATATGTATTCACAATGGAGCAGCACTACGAAGTGTCTACGAGGGTAGCGCTATTGCTAATATATCGTGAACAACTCGTGCCACAGTCGAAATACACGTATGGCTACGTAATAAATACCGTGGACGTTTATAGTTCTATGAAGTATGATCACGCCTTGCAGGTAGCATTGCTGGTACGTGCAGGATAGGGTCTAAAACCCCGAGGTCGAAACTATTCTTCTGCTAGAATGATGTGTTCGTGTTCTGCGGTCAGGGTTTAGGGTTTAAACCCCTGTATGACGAACTTTTATTCCTCCTAGATAACTATAATTGTGTCGTTAAATCGCAATACTGTCTACTTTAATACACGCACATGGGATCCCAACAGCGAACCTTCAAATTGCTACGACAGTTTCAAGAAAACTTAATTACATAGTACTCATACATGCAAAGAATCATGTATAACACTACGGTTATGTAACTCTATTTTTATATTTATATATACATATACCTAAATACATATATATGTATATATATATATATATATATATTGATATGTATATATATATACTANATATATACATACAT